TGTGTGGCGCTGAGTCACTTGGTGGTGCACTCCCAGCTACCACGTGTTTCTACCGTGTGGCTTCGTGCACGTTGCTGTGCTCTAACCAGTCGCTGGTCCAAGAGCTCAGGCGCATCTCAGTTGTGGAAGGTTCTCTCGCTGGCGACGTTGTTTCCACTCCCTGGATGCGTGTTCTGATGTCGCGTTGGTCCGCTGCCGCCGTCAGGTCTTCCCGCTGGACTGTGTCACCAGTCAGTCTGTGCCTACCCGTCAGACTCCCTGGATTGACGTCCCGCTCGGAACCGTTCCCAACCCGTTCGTACTCGATCTGTTGGGAACGCTTTACGCGCCATTTTGGCTCCGCTCGGCTTCCTCGGTGCCTGATTGTCAGACTCCCTGGGTGCGCCGTTGCATGTTCCTTTCTGGGGCTGCCCTGCAGACTCCGTGGAATTGCGCGCTTGGCTCAGACGCCCTGGGTCGCTGCTGCCAGCCGCCTGGCCGCGGCCCCGCGCGCGCCCGCCCCCCTTGTCGCGGCCGCAGCCCGACCGTGACCGCCTGCCGCTGGCGCTTCCGCCTGCGGCTGTAAAAAAAATCCCCACCAGCCCGTCCAGAAACGACGCCCAGGCGAGTAGAGGGTCGTCCTGAGGGGCTTTTCGGCGTCTTGGGTGCCTCGGGGGGGCCTCTGTGGACCGTTCGGGATCCTCTTTGGGGCCTCCTGGGGGCCTCCCGGGGCCTCTTGGGGCCATCTTGGGGCCTTGGGGGGTCTCTTGGGGCCCCTTGGGGGTCTTTTGGGGGCCTCCTGGGGGCCTCTTGGGGGGCCTCTTGGGGCCATTTTGGGGCCATCCTGCGGCCTCTTGGGGCATCCTGGGGGCCTCTTGCGGCCATCGTGGAGGAAATCGATCAAAGAAGAGGAGAGCGTTAGTTAGCGTCGCCCCCTCTGAAGGCCCAAATGGGGCCCAAACCATTGTAAAATCAATGATTTTGGCTTCCCCGCCGAGGCCGTTTTGGACGCTCTGACCGCTCCCCGCCCCTCCTGTCCAGGTCAGTGGGGAGGGGGTAGGGGGAGGGGTAAACCCTTCACCGAAGGGGAAGAGGGAGGGGTGGAAGAGGAAACGCCCTAAACCACCGACGCCCAGAGGGCTGGTGGGATTTACGAGGGTGTGTGGCCCCGTGGACGCAACTATTGCGTCATTTACACTGGTTTATGGCCTCGGGGACGCAAACATTGAATACAGAATTGAAAGGTCGATGCCTCGGGGACGCGAATATTCTTCAATTTTCGAGGGTTTGTTGCCTCTGGAACGCAAGTACGGTGTAAGTTACGAGGGTTGGGGAGGCGACTCTTGCTTAATTTTCACAGGTGTTGTTTCGGGTGCGCGAGTATTATATGATTTACGAGGGTTTATTTTCTTGGGGGCGCGAGCGTTGAGCCATTGCGCAATCGTGAGGGATGATGGCTTCGGGGACGCGAGTATGGTACAATTAACAATGGTTAATGGCCTCGGGGACGCGAATACGGAGTAATGTATTTGGGATTGTGGCTTTACGTGTCCCCCGCCCCCCCAGGAATTCAAACAACGCGATCTGGGCGTGGTAAACAAAGCTGGTTTGGGGCTTCCCCCCCCCTCGCGCGTTCAGCAGCTATTAACAGGAAGGAAGCAGAAAGCAGGACTGTAACAGTGGAAACGGGAAGCTGCAACTGGAACAGGGAGCTGCAACCCTCACCCTCGCAGGCCCCGCAAGAAGGCCTGCGGATATGATATGTTCATGCAGTGTTGGGTTATTCTATTCTTGCCACAGCGGCTTGGTCCGCCTCGCGATTCTGGCCAGAGTGTGTTGCCCAAAAATTCTCGGTTGTCGATTAGATGAGGGAGGACCTTCGACGCCTGGGGAGCGCTTATGCCATTCTCGGCCTCTTGAGATGTCGGGGGTCGCACTACGAGGGGAGGGTAAGGCTGGGTTGCTCCTAATCTTCTGTGCCGCTTGTGGGAGTGGGGTTTGGGCTCTGGAGCCGCCCAGCATACAAATGTTAGCCAGCGTGGACCGCAACTGGTGTGCTTGGTTCTAGCAACACATGATGTGCAATCTATGTGGGGCAATGCCTGTTACGGAATGTAGACAGTGCAATCGACGTTGTACCATCTGTTTTGCGCACTGTTTGTTGTGCGGTAAGTATGGTGCCGATTATGTAGTGCAATGCCTGTGGCGCGCAATGCATGCAGTGCAGTCTAAGTAGTACAATCCAAGTGGTGCAGTCGGTGTTGTGCCATCTATGTGGTACACTACAAATATATGTATATATATTCTCATACGCACCTCTCCGAGGGAGTAGAGCTCAGAGGCGATTAGTGCGCACGCGTCCGCGATGTTTCTGGGCGTTTCGCTCGGGACATCCTCGAAATTCTGAAAATCGGTGGCACCCCTCACGCAGATCGTGACGTCAGGGTCCACCAACACATGGGAATTTCAACATTTTAGCATAAAACCTTCAAACACACATGGTAATTTCAATAATGGTGACCCCGATTCTCAGGGAATGGCGGTTTCGCTTGACAAATCCTTCCAACATCTAGCCCCAGACCCCGCCTCGGAGCCTCCTGGGGGCCTCCTGGAACCTCATGGGGCCTCCTGGGGCTTTCTGAACCGTCTGGCACCCCAGACCCCGCCTCGGAGCCTCCTGGGGGTCTCCTGAAACCTCCTGGGGCCTCCTGGGGCCTCCTGCGGCCTCCTGGAGCCTCTTGGGGCCTCCTGACGCCTCCTGGGGTCTCCTGGGGCCTCCTGAGGCCGCCTGGGGCTTCTTGGGGCCTCCTGGGGCTTCAGAACTACATGCACACAGAGACACAAATCACGCCCAACACATCACACGCTAGACAAACATAGCACACACACACACACACAACACCAAAAAGCACGCACCACACAAAGCATACATCACACACACACACACACACGTCTGCCCAGGCTCATACAAAAAAACTGAAGGGGCGTTTGAAGCAGGAGTGAAATGCAACATCGAAGTCGCACTCGAGCGCAAGTGGGGTTGCCACACCTTGCGATGTGTGTACCAGGACCCCCCAGGAAGCCTCAGGAGGCCCGACTTGGATACCAGAAGAGGCTCCAGGAGGCCCCAGGATTGTGAGTGTTGTGCGTGTGTGTGTGTGTGTGTGTGTGTGTGTGTGTGTGTGTGTGATGTATGCTTTGTGTGGTGCGTGCTTTTTGTGTGTTGTAGGTGTGTGTGTGTGTGTTATGTTTGTCTAGCGTGTGATGTGTTGGGCGTGATTTGTGTCTCTGTGTGCATGTAGTTCTGAAGCCCCAGGAGGCCCCAGGAAGCCCCAGGCGGCCTCAGGAGGCCCCAGGAGACCCCAGGAGGCTTCAGGAGGCCCCAAGAGGCTCCAGGAGGCCGCAGGAGGCCCCAGGAGGCCCCAGGAGGTTTCAGGAGACCCCCAGGAGGCTCCGAGGCGGGGTCTGGGGTGCCAGAAGGTTCAGAACGCCCCAGGAGGCCCCAGGAGGTTCCAGGAGGCCCCCCCCGAGGCGGGGTCTGGGGCTCGATTTTGGAATGATTTTTCAAGCGAAACCGCCATTCCCTGAGAATCGGGGTCACAATTATTGAAATTACCATGTGTTTTTGAAGGTTTTATGTTTAAATGTTGAAATTCCCATGTGTTTTTGGACCCTGACGTCACGATCTGCGTGAGGGGTGCCACCGATTTTCAGAATTTCGAGGATGTCCCGAGCGAAACGCCCAGAAAATCGCGGACGCGTGCGCATTAATCGCCTCTGAGCTCTACTCCCTCGGAGAGGTGCGTATGAGAATATGTGTATATACTTACAAGTGGCACGTGTGTGCCCAGGCTCATACAAAAAACTGAAGGGGCGTTTGAAGCAGGAGTGAAATGCAACATCGAAGTCGCACTCGAGCGCAAGTGGGGTTGCCACACCTTGCGATGTGTGTGCCAGGACCCCCCAGGAAGCCTCAGGAGGCCCGACTTGGATACCAGAAGAGGCTCCAGGAGGCCCCAGGATTGTGAGTGTTGTGCGTGTGTGTGTGTGTGTGTGTGATGTATGCTTTGTGTGGTGCGTGCTTTTTGTGTGTTGTAGGTGTGTGTGTGTGTGTGTGTTATGTTTGTCTAGCGTGTGATGTGTTGGGCGTGATTTGTGTCTCTGTGTGCATGTAGTTCTGAAGCCCCAGGAGGCCCCAGGAAGCCCCAGGCGGCCTCAGGAGGCCCCAGGAGACCCCAGGAGGCTTCAGGAGGCCCCAAGAGGCTCCAGGAGGCCGCAGGAGGCCCCAGGAGGCCCCAGGAGGTTTCAGGAGACCCCCAGGAGGCTCCGAGGCGGGGTCTGGGGTGCCAGAAGGTTCAGAACGCCCCAGGAGGCCCCAGGAGGTTCCAGGAGGCCCCCAGGAGGCTCCGAGGCGGGGTCTGGGGCTCGATTTTGGAAGGATTTTTCAAGCGAAACCGCCATTCCCTGAGAATCGGGGTCACAATTATTGAAATTACCATGTGTTTTTGAAGGTTTTATGTTTAAATGTTGAAATTCCCATGTGTTTTTGGACCCTGACGTCACGATCTGCGTGTGGGGTGCCACCGATTTTCAGAATTTCGAGGATGTCCCGAGCGAAACGCCCAGAAAAATCGCGGATGCGTGCGCATTAATCGCCTCTGAGCTCTACTCCCTCGGAGAGGTGCGTATGAGAATAAATATATGGTGCATTCCACGCGGTGCAACCTGTGCGGTGCGCTCCACGCTGTGCAACGCATGTTGTGTAATCTAGGTGGTGCAGTCCATGCTGTGCAATCTGAGTGGTGCAATATGTCAAATGCAACCTTTGTGATGCAGCATGTGCAGTACACTCAGCCTCTGGGTGCAAGCTATACTGTGCAATCTACGTGTTGCAATTTATGTGGTGCAATCTATATTGTGCAAATTATTTGGTGCAGTCTACATGGTGCAATCAATGTGGTGCAATCTGCGATGTGCAATTGAGGCGGCGACGGCGACAACATATCCGCCAGACCGTCCGTAGCCATCTTTGGCTCAAGCAGTTTTGGCTCGAGCCCGTCCTTCCCCCAGCGCAGCAACCCGGCGCCGCTTGTCCCCCCACATCAGCCAGGGGCCGGCCATGTCAGGCGACCGACCCGACCGCGGCGCCGAGGCGGAGGAGGCCACGGAGCTGCTGCGCGAGCAGCTAGGGCCCGCGGGCCTCCGCCGGCCGGTGGCCGCCGCCGCGCTCCTCGCGGTTCTCGCCGCGGCCTGGACCGCCGCGCTCCTCCTCTCGCGCGGCCGCCCGGTGCGGGCGGGCCCCTCGCTGGTGCGGCTGGCCTCGCAGGAGGCCACGGCCATCACCTCGCTCAGCCCCGGCGCCGACTACTGCCCGGCGGCCGGCGAGAACTGCACCGCCTTGCGGTGCTGCGCCGAGGCCGGCCTCCAGTGCTACAAGAAGAACTCTGCGTGGGCCAGCTGCTTGGCGAACTGCACCAAGAACAAGTCAATGCCCGGCGACGCCAACAAGGACCCCTGGGATTGTGAGGAGTTCGGCGCCCGCACTCCGGGGCCGGCCGGGCCAGTCGACGAAGATTACGACTGGACCACGGGGGGCTTACGCGGCCAGGATTGCAGGGTCCACAAGTTCTGCGCGGGCCAGGACGACCATTGCTACCTGAAGAACAAGGAGTGGGGCAGCTGCATGCGGGAGTGTGACCCTGCGGCTTCAGGCACAAAAGGCTGGAGCTGCGAGAAGCTCTACTGAGCTCTCCCCGCGGTCCAGCGAGGTAGTGTCCCCTCGCCGACGCACCTCGGGCTGGTGTGGGCTTTTTGGAGGCGAGTGCTGATCATATACCCGGCCACCAAGACGCCGAAATGACCAGCGTGGCTTTGCCAGCGAGCCAAGGCGCTGAAGCCAACCGTCTTGAATCACGCCCGGTCGGCTCCGTCTCGCTCGCAGCCTAATTCGTTGCGTTTTTGGGCATGCTGCAGGGAGCCCCTGCACACGTTCGATCACGGCTTCGCATGGAATTCTCTGGCACCGTCTCCAGTCTTCCCCGATCGCCCTCCTGTCCTCTCCTCCGTTCGATGCGCGCTCCTGGTGCTTGCTGGTCACCCAAAGCCGGAGCACAGCTGCAGAGTTTTCCAACAGATTGCGGTAGAGCGCGAGACGTTGCAAATGCCAATGGATTTTACAATATTGTCCTGAAAGACCGACGTGTCTGCGCTCGCCAAAAAAGTAAAACACAATTAACCAACAAGAACATATCCGCCAGACCGACAATCAGGCCCAGACGAAGGGCGGCAAGGAGGCGGCGACGGGGCGGCGACGATGACAACATAGCCGCCAGACCCCAATCAGGCCCAGCTCCTTAGAAGAGAAGTAAGAACCCCTCAGTACAAGCACTGTTTGGGACATCAGGATGAACTTCTAGTCGCCAGGAAGGGGTCAAGACAGTGGCCCAGAATTCTGGCGGATCCACATCGTAATTTGATCCCAGGAGTCGTTCCCAACCAACCTGTGTTGTTGGGCCCTCGTTTTGAAGGGACGGTCCCCGCGTTCCTCCTCCTCCTCCTCCTCCTCCTCCACCTCCTCTCCTCTACAATTGCTCAATATGAATACTACTCTCCTGCTTCCCCTGATGACGGCTTGAAAGTGCTCGACCCCCCCCGGCGTCCTTTTTTTTTCACAGGTTTCCCTGGAGTTGGGTTTTCGCCTGCATTTTTTTCAAAATGCTGCTCTCGCTGAGGCGCCGGCCTCATTTTCGGGCCCGGCTCGTTCCGAATCGTGCTCCCGCTGCAGCGTTGGCTTCATTTCCGTGCTTCCGCTCGTTCCGAATCGGAATCCCGCTTCAGCGCTGGCCTCATTTCCGCGCTTCCGCTCGTTTCGACTCGTGCTCCCGCTGAAGCGCTGGCATCATTTCCCGTGCCATGCCACGGCATGCAATGCAATGCTAGGTTGATGCTACGCTTTGCGGTGCTCTTCTACGCCATGCCATGCCGTGCTCTACAATGCATCGCGTACCCTTTCGGGATCATTGCCCTGCTCGACATCCGACTGTGCGAGTAGAGAGGGGATCCTCGCCATGGTAAGGCCTGCGTTTCACACACCCAGTACAACGTTTCGTAGCCCCACAGGGAGCTCCACCGAAGGCCCCAGTGCCACCGTCCACATGCGCCCCCCCCCCCACTCAGTACAGCGTTTCGTGGCCACATAAGGAGCTCCACCGAAGGCCCCAGTGCCACCGTCCACATGCGTCCCCCCCCCTCTCAGTACAGCGCTTCGTGGCCCCATAGGGAGCTCCACCGAAGGCCCCAGTGCCACCGTCCACATGCGTCCCCCCCCCATTCAGTACAGCGTTTCGTGGCCACATCAGGAGCTCCACCGAAGGCCCCGGTGCCACCGTCCACATGCGTCCCCCCCACTCAGTACAGCGCTTCGTGGCCCCATAGGGAGCTCCACCGAAGGCCCCAGTGCCACCGTCCACATGCGTCCCCCCACTCAGTACAGCGCTTCGTGGCCCCATAGGGAGCTCCACCGAAGGCCCCAGTGCCAGCGTCCACATGCGTCCACCGTTGCGTCAGTCACCCCCCCCACTCAGTACAGCGTTTCGTGGCCCCATAGGGAGCTCCACCGAAGGCCCCAGTGCCACCGTCCACATGCGTCCCCCCCACTCAGTACAGCGTTTCGTGGCCCCATAGGGAGCTCCACCGAAGGCCCCAGTGCCACCGTCCCACTCAGTACAGCGCTTCGTGGCCCCATAGGGAGCTCCACCGAAGGCCCCAGTGCCACCGTCCACATGCGTCCCCCCCACTCAGTACAGCGTTTCGTGGCCCCATAGGGAGCTCCACCGAAGGCCCCAGTGCCACCGTCCACATGCGTCCCCCCCACTCAGTACAGCGCTTCGTGGCCCCCCCATCCAGTGCCACATGCGCCCCCCCCACTCAATACAGCGCTTCGTGGCCCCATTGGGAGCTCCACCGAAGGTTCCAGTGCCACCGTCCACATGCGTCCCCCCACTCAATACAGCGCTGCGTGGCCCCATTGGGAGCTCGACCGAAGGCCCCAGCGCCACCGTCCACATGCGTCCCCCCCACTCAGTACAGCGCTTCGTGGCCCCATAGGGAGCTCCACCGAAGGCCCCAGTGCCACCGTCCACATGCGCCCCCCCCACTCAGTGCAGCGCTTCGTGGCCCCACAGGGAGCCCCACCGAAGGTCACAGCGCTACCGTCCACATGCGCCCCCCCCACTCAGTACAGCGCTTCGTGGCCACATGGGGAGCTCCACCGAATCCGAGTGGGACCGTCCGGGTGCGTCCTGAAACGCCCAATTTTCCATTTCCAGTCACCCATTACAGCGTTTCGTGGCCCCACAGGGAGCTCCACCGAAGGCTCCAGTGCCACCGTCGCATGCGTCCCGCACACCCAATGTGGCATTTTCACCCACCCAGTGCAGCGTTTCCTGGCCCCACAGGGAGCTCCACCGAGGGCCCCAGTGGGACCGTCCGCAAGCGTCCCGAAACATTCATTGTGGCATTTTCTTTCACCCAGTCCAAAATTTCGTGGCCCCGTAGGGAGCTCCACCGAAGGCCCCAGTGCCACCGTCCGCATGCGTCCCGGAAGCCCAACGTGACATTTTTATACCCACCCAATACAGCGCTTCGTGGCCCCTTAGTGAGCTCCACCGAAGCCCCCAGTGGGACCGTCTGCGTGCGTCCCGAAAACCCAACGTGGCATTTTCACCCACCCAGTACAGCGTTTCGTGGCCCCATAGGAGTTCCACCGAAGCCTCCAATGGGACCGTCCGCGTGCGCCCCGGAAACCCAATTTGGCATTTTCACCCACCCATTACAACGCTTCGTGGCCCCATAAGGAGCTCCACCGAAGCCCCCGGTGGGACCGTCCGCATGCGTCCCGGAAACCTTCCTTGACACACCACTCACCCAGAACAGCGTTCCCCTCCACCCAGTGCAGCGCTTCGTGGCCCCATAGGGAGTTTCACCGAAGAAGGTTTTCACAATTGCGGTGCCCACAACTGCATATGGTTGGGTCTTTCGCCAGGGTAATTTTAAACAGTGTGTGCACTCAGGCTATTCTTATGGTGCGGTTGTCTCTTGGAGGTTTAATTAAGGCCTCCAGGGGATCTCCGGGGGTCCTCGAGCTCCGTATTTGTATCGCGTGGGGGCCTCTTGGACATATTGGGAGTTTTTTGCGCCGTCTTGGAGCGATCGTGGGTGCCTGCTGGGCCGCCCGGGGCGCTCTTCAGAACGAGACGCCGAGCACGATCAAGGTCTACACGCACTTGCAGTTGTTCCATGATGGTGGCCTCTTGGGCCGTCCCCCAAGGCCTCGGAGATCGCCCACAGGGCGGCCAACAGGGCATGCCGCTAATTTGGTCCGTTGTTGGGGCCTCTTGGGAGCCTCTGTGGCCGTTTTTGCGCGCTGTGGCCTCTGGGACGTTCACGCGACCAGCCCCAAGCGTCACGCGACACGCCTGGAAGTTCTGTCAGTTCGGGGGCCTGGGCCCCTTAGACGAGTCACACAATATTCAACCGGAGGAACCGAAGGGACCTGATGACACTCCAATCAGCGCCTTCAGCACAGTGACAGGTTTCCATGACTACTTAATGTATTGGGCTTTGCTGTTTTTTGTGTGGCTGGTCGTTGCCTGTGGGCGCCTGGTGGCCGCTGGGTGCACTGGCTGGGTATTCTTGGCCTGCGGCTGGTAGTCGCCCGTTGGCGCCTCGTGTGCTGGATGTTTTGTTGGGTGTGCGGTGTGCAGATAGAGTTCACCACATGGTTTGAAACACATTGGAGGTCGTCACGCGCGGGTACGGCTGCACCACATATATTGCACCACATCGTGTACGCTCGCTGGGCTCCCAAGAGGCACAACTAAATTGCACCACATTGCTTACTCGCCACCCCTCCTTCCCATTACCGCCGTCCTCCTCTTCGTCCGCGGGCGCTGACGCATGGGCTGAATGGGCGAGAGACAGAGCAACAGCTCACCGCCGCGTCCTCGTCGTGTGTCTCCTCCTGCCTGCCCTCGTCGTCGTCGTGTGCCTCCTCCTGCGTCCCCCCTGGTCGTCCTTCCCCCCTTCCTCTGCCTCCCCCTCCTGGTCGTCCTCCTCGTCCTTCCTGCCAACCTCGCGCGCTCGCGCGCGCGCCCGCGACGGAAGGCGCGACGGCCGCGGCGAGCGGCGACCCGACGACGTGGCTGTCGCTGGCGGCCACGGAGCCCCCCCCCCCCTCGCCCCTCCCGCCCGCCACGCTGCCTGGGGGGACGGGAGCCCGCCGCCCTCCTCCCGCCCTCGCTCCTCGCCCCTCGCCCGCCCTCCCGCGGAGGGTGGAGGAGCGACACCGCCACCGCGGGGGGTGCGACCGCCAGCGAGCCGGGACCGTCAAGGGGGGAAAAGACCGCCGGGATCGTCAAGGGGGGAAAGCTCCCCGAGCTGGGATCGTGAAGGGGGGAAAGACCGCCGGGATCGTCAAAGACAGAGGGGGGATGCCTCCCCGAGACGAGATCGTCCAGGGGGGAAAGACCGCCCCGACTCCCGAGGGATCGGCGTCTGCCAGACGGCCCTGGGCGTTTACCGAACAGCCCCTGCCCTGTTCGATTCCTTTCCTTGGGTGCGTTTCTCCCTGGCTTCGCCGGTCGGGGTGATGGTCACGAGGGTGGATGTTCAGCTCTCTGGATCGAGGGGATGCCTCGAATGAGAGGGGGGCGATCACATCACCACCAGGACCCCCAGTTGCTCTTCGCGCCTGCGCTGGTGATACCGGTTTTCCACGGTCTTGCTTGCCTCGCTCCCTCCTCTCTGGGCGGGGGCCTGAGCGCCGTCCAAGTTCATCAACGACCACTCAGCAACGACAGGTGCCGTGGCGGACAGGTCTAGAACCACGGTAGTTAGCATGACAATGCACAGTGATGCAAGCACGCAACGGTTACTTAGTTAGCATCCCGCGAGGCTTCAACAATCCACCGTTTGATTCATGTCCGGACAAATTCACATTCCAGAACAGGACGTGACCACGAGAAACGAAAACGAACGGGCATGAAAGATGCATGACATACAAAAGCGATTAGCCATGACAGCAAGCGGTCATTGCAAGATAAAAAACCCTACGTTCTACATGGCATTCGCCGCCCGACAGGTTGAGATTGTTAGGTCGACAGATCCAGATCCAGACAGATCCATTCGCCGCCCGGCAGGCCTAGGAAGAAGAGGAGGGAAGAGGAGAACGAGGCAGGTCAGGAGAGGGCAGGGGGAGCACATCATGCAAAGACTTTTTCTTCATTTGCCTACATCCTCTGTCGGCCGCCGCCGTCTCTCATGCCGCGCTTGTCATGCGTAATGTACGCATCAATTCAGCAGGCGTGAGCACCGTTATAGCAGGCTCAATGTTATGCAGATGTCTCTTCCCGATCCTCCTCGGTCACGGCCCATCGCGGGCTCCAGAGGGGCCCCTTCTCGAAGGCGCTGGTGGCGACCCAGCAGCACATGGACGCGGGCGGGGGCGTGGTCGACGCCGCCGCCGAGCGCGCCAGGGAGGACGCCCGCGCTGGGTGCCGATGTTTCCTCTCGGCGGCCACCAGCGGCCATTGCCACCCGCCGGACGACATCCGGCGGCCCTCCGCCGGCCCTCCGGCGGCCTTCCGGCGGCCTTCGGCGAAGCGGCCTTCCGGCGGCTTCTGCTCGGCCAGCCCTCGGCGCCGCCGTCGGCGACCATCGAGGCGGCCTCCGGCGGGCGCCGCGCCTCGTCGTGGCTTGTCGTCGTCGTCGTCGTCGACATGGCGCGCTTATCATGCCATGCACCCTGCGACGTCGATCCTTCGCCTGCTAATTTCTATAGAAGAGGAACAGGTACTCATACCGCTACCCTTGCCTTGTTTTCCCCTCTTCGGGCCTCTTGGGAGGCCCCAGTCGCCATCGTTGGATTCGCTTCGCACCCCGGGAGAGATCTGAGGAGTAGCGGTACCGGTACCTTTTGGTTTCCCCAGCACCGTGCGATGCCGGTTTTTCCGTTGCTAATGGGGCTCGGCCTTCTGGGGGCCGCGCAAAGGTTTGCTAGAACCCTGGGAGTTTCACTGTTCGGGGCCGCAGCTGTGTCAAGCAAAGCGGATGCCCTGGGTTTGCTTAGAAGATTCATTTGAACATTCTTCGCCTTGGCCATCATCTTATCATAACTACCCCCTCGCCGACTGTTTTCCAAAAGTCAGACCCCCACCTAGCAGGCGAATGGGCCGACGCACGCGCTCTGCGGTGCCCACGTCGTCGACGCGCACGCCGTGCGACATCTGCGCGGTCCACGCCGACGGCGGCGTTGACGCGCGCGCGCGCCGTGCGACGCCCCACCCCTCCGCAGGAGGCGGCCCTCCGGGAGATGGAGGCCATCACGCCTGCTGACGGCTTCCTCTCGCCGGCGAGCGCGTTGCCGTCTCAGCGTCGTCGCCTCCTTCGATTATGGATGGGGGATCGACGTTGGATTGTCAATCCAGTATATCGGTTGGGATTCCGACCGAGGATTAATCGTCGATCCAGGATCGATCTTCGATTGGTCGACCGCGAATCGATTGTCGATCGAGAAGCTGCTCTCCTTCTTTGGGGGGGGGGACTGGATGGTGGCAGATTTTGCGTCATGCCGTAAGCTGTCGTTTACGAATGAAACAGGTCCTCCTCGCAGTGCGTGTTGTTATTGAGTTTTCGATGGCAGAGGGTGAGACAGGACACCGTAGTTGCGACGCAGGCGTTTGGCTTGTTGAAGCTGGGGGACGTGGCAACGGAACCGTTGCGAAGCGCCCCGGGTACGAGATGGCCTGGTGTATCAGAGTGCACCCTCAGCTTGGGCCCCGCTCTCGAACGGTCCTTTGCGGTGAGCAGTGGGAGACGTGGGTGGGAGCAGGAGGTAAGAGGAGAGGGGGCCAGGACCCTCCGCCCCTCCCTCCTCTCCCCCTCCTCGCTTTCTTGATCGGCTTCTCTGCCTCCGCATCCTCCCGGCCCTCTTCTTATCGAACCTGCTTTTTTGGAGGCAGGCCATCTTGAAGATCCTGATCCAGACAATCTTCCCGATCCGCCGTCGCTCTGCCGGCTCGGCCAAGGCAGATGCACGCGTACATCTGCCACATGTGCCGCAAGAAGTTTGCGTGTTTGGACCTCATCCCGGCCCGCCACATCGCCGCACCGCGCCACCGGGGATGCTTTTGGGCGACTTGGGACCTGCGACGGCCTTTGACCCTTCTCGGCCCCCCCCCCCGCATGCATCCAGGGGTTGTGGGGGGCCGGCTGCTGCGAGGCATCCAGAGACACGCGAAGATTTTTGCTGGACCTCCGGAGGGATCACCTCGGATGGGGCCAGGCCGAGGATACATCCGTTCCAAAGCGTTGCGGAACGTTCTGAGAGCGTTCCAGAGCGCTCTGAGAAGGCCGCGGCGCCCGAGACATCCTCCAGATCCGCTGGATCTCAGAGATTCTCGATTTATCCTCACCCGATGGTATCCTCGTCCTGCCTTCGTCTTATCGCCGTAGATCAGGGGTTCTGAAGGAAGAAGGTTCCGAGCTTTCTGCATTGCTTTCCGCCCAAATGGGCCCCTCCTGGGCTTTCCGAGCTTTTGGGCCCTTCCGGGGCCCCTGGGGCCGTCCAAATGCCAACTACTCGGGACGAGAACGCGGGCGAAGGGAAGTCCCAAATGTCCGGGCTCCGTATCCCTCTCTCTCACGCGCATGGGGGCAGGGGGATCGCCACGGCGAAGACAAGCGGCCTTGTGAGGACATGGGCCCTGAACCTCGGGGCTTCCCTGGGGCCTCGAGCCGACGCGCCCGCTTCCGAAGGCCGCCCCCGAGCCCGGGCATCCAGGGAGGCTCCGTGCGGTCTTCAGGACCCCCTTTTGCCCTCGGGCCCCACTCCAGTGCGCGGCAGGGAGGAGGTGCGGGGGCGCGCAGCAGCACTGGAAGAGGCAACGCCGACTACATCGCGATCTGCATCGGTGGGAGGGCGGGGGGAGGGCAGCGGGGGGCGACGCAGCGACAGGCGGCGGGCATGGGCGCCTCCTCTGCGCGTCGTGCGTCCGTCGAGCGGCCGCCGCGGGAGGGCGCTGCGCCAGCGGAGCCCGCCACCCCGCACCTCGGCTGTCGCGCCGCTCCACTCGCGCGCGCCTGTCTGGGGCTGGTGGCACGAGGTCAGGGGAGCAAGCGGTGCCGATCGCGCTGCCGTCTCCTCGCTTTCGCACGACAGCGACGAGCTGATGACCTTGCCACAGGCTCGGGATGTGGGGCGGGCGGTGCAGGGAGGAGGTGTCGGAAGCGGAGGAGGACGAGGAGGAGGAGGAGGCGGAGGAGGCGGGGAGGATGACGAGGAGGGGGGAGAGGAAAAGGAAGAGGCGGAGGACGAGGAGGGAGGGGAGGAGGAGGGGGGGGAGGAGGTTGAGGAGGAGCCCTTGAGACTGTCCGTAGCCATATTGGCTCCAGGCTAAACGTCGTGAAGGGCTGTAGACGCCCGAGAACCAGCGAATAGCTGTGGCCCATCCGTGACCATCCTCGAAGCCGCCAGGAGGCCAGCCAGCCAGCCGCGGGCCAGCGCCCGCTTCCCAGCTCGCGGTCCAGCATCCATGGGTTGGTGGGCCTACCAGGCACAGCACGCTCAGCCCAAAAAGAGGCAGTATGCCGTACAGGGTCCGGCTTGAATAAGGAACAATTACTTTTCAAAAGGGGCTCGGTCGTTCCCTTGGTTTGCATGCGTTCCGCTACCTTCTCAGCGGCGAGCCTCCCTGGTGTTTCTTTGGACTTCCTAGACGTACTTGGAAAACAGGGACTTCGTTCCTTACTTATCGTTCCTTAGGTTAGGCCGAATACTATACGCAGTGCAGGCCATACGTGGCAACATTTGAACAAGGCCAAGAAGACGGTCCTGTGCATGTGCGGCAAGCCGTTCGACCTCCAAGGGGGCCACTGGCGGTCACGCCAGCCGGGCCGACTCCGACACGGCCAGGGGCAAGGGCAAGGACAGCCTCGGCGACGTCAAGGAGATCCTGGGGCTCCTCATCGGGGCTCGCACTCCAGGACACAGAAGTACGATTGGCGATAACGAAATTCAGTAGAGTAGAGAAGGTATGGCATAGTAAAGTGGACCAGGGCTGGGAAGGGAAGGGAAGGGCTGGGAAGGGCTGGGAAGGGATCGCATAGTAGAGTAGACCAGAGTAGATGGGGTCGGAGGATCGCGCATCATCGCCCATACATCGGCGATGCAGCGCGATCCCGAGCCCGATCTTCTGGACCCCGCGGTCGACGGTGCCGCTGCTTCGCTGATGCACCGCCGATGCGTCTCGATCCCGAGCCCGATCACCTCCGTGCCGACATCGCCGCTGTATCGACGATGCGGCTCGATCTAACCTATTCCCATCCCATCTGGAGGGACCCAGCCGATGGGGAGAAGGTATCGGCAGCGTACTCGCCCGCCCGGGGAGCCTCAGCGTCGCGCGTAAACACCTCTGGTGTGCCGCGCTGGCCCGAAATCGCCCCCGGACCCCCGAGGGGTGCTCGGGTGCCCCACCCAACCCGGGATAGGCGCTGCCTCGCTACACATCGGGAGGGGGCCCATCGCGGATGAGTTGCCCATGCCAGGAGGCAGGGGGCGGAGTGGCCGTGGGGGTGGGGAGGGCGCGGACGGGGGCGAGATGAGATGAGGAGAGAAGGGAGGAGAGGGGGGGGGGGGGAGGGGCGCAGAGAGAGAGCGGGAGGGTGGAGGGAGGGAGAGGGACCCAGACATCCGACGCCAGACCGCTGTTTCGTGGGATTTCCCAGCCCCCCTTGGACCGTCCGTCACTATCCAAGGCGCTGGTTGCTCACCCCTCGCTTTTGCTTCTGTTCGATCAGTTCCTGCAGTGCCAGTGCTGCCCAGGGCTGGACCTGATCGCTGTTTTGCTGGACTTCGGCTGTGTCTTATTTTTCGTTTTGGGAGGGAGGTACATGACAACAGGTAGAGCAAAACGAAACACAAGGCGAAAACGACACGAAAAACAACGTTCAGGTCCAGCCCTGGTGCTGCCTACGGATCAGCCTGCAAAGCCCACACACCGGGCAGACCGGGTAGTCGGTGGGAGGGCGGGAGAGCAGTCGACTAGACGTAAGCGTGACCTTTCGCCGGAGTGACCTTTGGTGCGGGCCCAATGGGGCCCCCCGATTGCCGAACGCGAGGCGGCAATGGCGTCTTGCGCGCTTGTGTTTGGCCCCCCCGCGGACCCCGAAAAGCCGCGCACCAAAGGTCACTCTTACCCAGGGTCACTCTTGCGTGCAGCCGAACGTCTCCCCCCGCGCCCCAGGCGCACTGCGTGTCCAAGGTCCACGCGAAGAGGCGGGAGCAAGGGTACCGGTTCGAGGACCTCTTGGTCTCGCTTCCCGTGCGGGGAACGCTGGCCGCGTGCGCGTGCGGAGGGCGCGGAGGAGGAGGAGGAGGAGGAGGAGGAGGAGGAGGAGGAGGAGGAGGAGGAGGAGGAGGAGGAGAGGAGGAGAGGAGGAGGAGGAGGGAGGAATCAAGGAGGGATAAGAGGAGAGGAGGAGGTGGAGGGAGGGAGGAGGAGGAAGGAGGAGAGGAGGGGGAGGGGGAAGAGGAGGGAGGAATATTAGGGAGGAAGGAGGAGGACGAGGAGGAGGAGGAGGAGGAGGAAAGGAGGGAGGGGGTGATGAGATGGGATGAGATGAGAAGGCGGCCTGAAGCCAGGTTCGGTCGGGCTGCGCCGGCTCGGCGTTGGAGGCCAGCGGTGAGTCGGGTATGGCCAGGACCCTAGGTAAGGGGACCTGGTTAGTGGTAGGGCCCCGGAGCCCCTGAATTGGCCAGGATCACTCAACCAGGTTTGCCGTAGTTGGTGTTTTTTCGGGGTGACGGCAGTTCCGATTAGTGGAACGAGGCGGGGAGGTATGCCAACGCCCGTGTGAGGCCTCCCCGAAGTCATCCAGGGACTCGTCTTAAGTCGGGCTTGTCCATCTACAGGAGGAATATAGAGTCAAAATACCTGTACGACCACCCTTCGAGTGATAAGGAGGTTCGGGGGGGGAGGAACCAACGTCTCACCCGATCGGTCTCATTATCTATCTCACTATCGATCGCACTATCGGTCTCGCTCGATCGATCTCATTCGATCGATCTCACAATCGATCTCACTCGATCTATTGCATTCGATCGATCTCACAATCGATCTGATTATCAATCTCACAGTCGATCTCACCATCGATCTCACTATCGATCTCACAATCGATCTCACATTCGGTTTCACTATCTCTCACTATCGATATCACGATCGATCTCACAATCAACGTCATCATCATCAGCATCAACATCATCGTCATCAACGTCATCACCATCATCATCAGTATCATCATCATCATCGGGACACCATGATCATCACATCATCACCTTCATCATCAACATCATCATCATCATCGGGACACCAACATCCGCACCAGCATCATCATCATCACCGTCATCATCATCGGGACACCATCATCATCGGAGCACCACCATCATTTCATCTTATCATCATCATGAACAACATCACCAACATCATCATCATCATCATCATCATCATCTCGACACCATCATCATCATCAGCAACATCACCATCATCAACATCATCATCATCGGGACACCATCCTCATTGGGACACCATCATCATCGGAACACCACCATCATGCCATCTTATCCTCATCATGAACAGCATCATCAACACAATCAGCATCAACATCATCAGCAACATTATCATTACCTGCATCATCATAATGCCGGCACCATCGTCATCATCAACAACTTCATCATTATCAACATCATCATCATCGGGGCACCATCGTCATCGCCACCATCATCATCATCACCATCATCATCATTATCGGGGCACCACCACCATCTTCATCATCAACATCATCATCACCGTCATCAACATCAACACCAACACCAACATCAACATCATCGCCATCACCATCATGGGCCACCATCATCAAAATCATCAAAGGGGTGCGTGCACATAACTATCTTCAGGGGGTTCGTGAAACTCGACGTGTTTTAAAACGAGGTTCGTCCGCAACGTCTCTCTCTCAAGTCTGCTGTTTCGGAAAGCGGATGCCTCTCGCGCTCCCCGGCCCCGTCGGCGCTCCCGGGCCTCGGTTGGCCCATTCGGCGCTGACGGCGCTCCTGGCGGCTGCACTGGGCGGCCTCTGGGGGGTGGAGCTGCTCGAGTTCGAGGTGCCGGCCCCCGCGGCGGCCCCAGCTCCTCCGCCGCCGCTCCCCGCCTGCGAGGTGCCGCAGGCTTGGGGCTGCCCCGACTGCCCCGTGGCGCCAGCCTGCCCAGTCTGCCCGAGCTGCCCGGCGCTGACTGCTGGCGGGACGGGCGTGGCGCAGCAGGTGGCCTCGCATTTGCTTGCGGGAGGCCTCTGGCGGGCGGCGGCGTGGGCTGCGGAGAGAGGGCGCCGGCCTGCGGCGAGGCGCGTGCCAGTCGGCGGCCGTCCTGCGATGTCGCTGCTGATGTTCGAGGGCGGCGGGGCGTGGTGGAGTGAGCTGAAGCCGGGCCAGACGATCGGCGTTCAGTACCGAGGTGACGTGGTGGACCACGAGCGATTGCTGCTTCATCCGTGCACTCTCGAGAAGGATGTCTGGTTTATCGCCACGCCCGACTTGGATGAGTACCCAGAGGCTGTGGCGGCAGGAGCGGGCGAGGACATCGTCAAGACGCACCCGCTGCCAGACGATGGCTCGAAGCCCGCTTGGCTGGGAAGGAAGCTCTATCGGCTCCAAGTGTACCCTGGCCGCGAGGAGTTCGTGGACATGATCAAGCGTGGATATCGGGCGGCGGTGACTTGCGACCCTGCGCTGGACGACGTGCTCCTGCCGACGGGCAAGATGGTGCCGATCAGCGAGCTGATCCCGCACTGACCCGCGCCAGCTCGCCGAGCGCGGGGCAAGCGGACCGCGGCCGCTGGGCCCGAGGGAGGTGGGTTGCCCCTGCCGCCCCCGTCGGCCGCCCCGCCAGCGGCGCCGATGGACGCCGCCACGCCTCCGCCAGGCCTTCGCTGGTGCGCGATGGGCTTCGGCGAATCGCTCTCGCCGGGCGACGCAAATGCGCTGCGCGGCCAGGCCTTCGTCGCAGCTGGCGACCACGATGCGCTGGTGCTGGACGGGTCCTCCTACGTCCACTGCTGGCTGATGCGACCGGAGGCGGGGCCCGATGCGGTGGCCGAGGAGCGCGCTCGCTGGCAGCCTGGAGACGGCGCGGCCGTTGAAGGCACATCGACCCCGCTTCTGGCGGACCCCGCTGCCGCCGAGGCCGGCAAGGCCGAGGCGGCGAAGGGCGGAGACGGGCGCCTGAGGCCTTCGGATGGCTCGCTGCGGGGCGCGCTGGGCTTGGAGGCCGACGGCGCGGACGCCCCCAGGGATGCAGATCCCGCCGCCGACGTTCGCACGCTCTGGGTCGACTATGACAATCAGGGGGAGAGGCTCAAGTGCTGGCGGGACGTGACCCGCGAGAGTACTCAGGAGACTTTCTCGGACGCGCCTCTGGAAGGGGCCCGGCGCCCCCCTGTTCTTGGCGCAGCACTTCGACCGCCACGGCGGCGACCCTCGTCAGTGGCTCCTCACGCGGTGGAGGAAACGCAAGATAGATGGCTCGGATCGGACATGCCATGAGATGAAGGTGCTGTGCGGTGCTCTGTACCCTGCAAGAGTTTACGATCAATTGGATGTTGGAGCCCTCGCATCAGTCGAGACCTTGCGCCGTCGTGTCCACATCACCATCGACGCGCGCGCTAACCCGCAGAAGCAGAATGTCACCTGGGAGCACGCCAAGCTGCACATGGGCACTGGCACGCCCGAGAACCCCGCCAGCCCGGCCCTCCAGTCGTTTGCTGCGCGGCGGGCTAAGGATCGGGCTGACGCGGTTACAGCTCTGGGCCAGGGTGGCGCGCGGGGGCTCCGCGGCAGCCCCGCTACGGCGGCGGAGGGCGCCGACGCGGGCGACGCCGCGGCTGGCGCTGGAGGTCGCGGAGCACGTGGAGGTCGCGGCGGCGGGGGGCGTGATTGCGGCGGCCGAGGCCGGCGCGGGCTCGTGCCCGCTGCCGCCGATCCGCAATGATCGGCAGCGCCGCCAAGGGGGCTCGCCCCTCCCTTGGCGGGCAATCGCGGGGCGCTGGGGTTCCTTCCCCAGGTGGCCGTCCTCGGAGGGGCTTCTTCCCTCTGCCTGGTCCTGCCATGCCTGCGGGCCCTGCCACTTCGACTCGTTCGGCAGAGAAGGCTTGGGCCAGGGTGGCGCGCGGGGGCTCCGCGGCAGCCCCGCTACGGCGGCGGAGGGCGCCGACGCGGGCGACGCCGCGGCTGGCGCTGGAGGTCGCGGAGCACGTGGAGGTCGCGGCGGCGGGGGGCGTGATTGCGGCGGCCGAGGCCGGCGCGGGCTCGTGCCCGCTGCCGCCGATCCGCAATGATCGGCAGCGCCGCCAAGGGGGCTCGCCCCTCCCTTGGCGGGCAATCGCGGGGCGCTGGGGTTCCTTCCCCAGGTGGCCGTCCTCGGAGGGGCTTCTTCCCTCTGCCTGGTCCTGCCATGCCTGCGGGCCCTGCCACTTCGACTCGTTCGGCAGAGAAGGCTTGGGGCCAGGCCAGGCGGCGCGCAAAGATGGTGCAGGAGGCGGCCCACGAACTGAACTGGCTTGCTGGCCACGACACCTGGGGCTCTTCTCAGGAGCCTGCGACGCCGGGAGTTTTGACGCCCGATGTGATGGCCCGCGTGGAAGGCCTGGTCAAGGACTGGGAGCCCATGCCAGAGGCCCTCTCGGGGCGGGAGGCAGTAAGAAGGCCTACCACGGCCTCGTCAGACGGCTCTGGGATCGTGGAATGCTGGGTGCCACCCTCAGGAATTTGGAGAGGATCGGGATCTTCTTCGTCTGGAAGAGCAACAGGACACGTCTCAGGCTGATCGTCGACGCTCGGAGAAGCAATTGTTGGTTCCGTGCCCCGCCAGGCGCCCGCTTGTGTACTTCGGAGGCCTTCGCGAACATCGAGATTGTCGACGGCGTCTTAGCGGGACTGGAGGGTGTCAGGCTGTACCTGGGCACGGCTGACGTGAAGGACTGCTTCCACCGCCGCAAGGCCCCTGCCTGGCTCAGGCCCTACTTCGCCTGGCCGGAGGTGCCCGCGCGGGTGCTGGGGCTGCGCGAGTTGGACGGAGTGCAGTTCAAGCCCGCCGACGCAGCGTGGCCCACCTCCGCCTCCATGTGCATGGGGTTTGCTTGGTCGCTGTACTTCGCCCAGAAGGCTGATGAGCGGCTGGCGGCTGCGGCACCCAGCCTGCGCGGGTCGACGCTGCTGCGCGACTGGTCCCCCCCCCCTGGTGCTGGCCGAGGG